AAGATGTACAGTTAGGTCCATATATATTTGGAAACTGACACAAGTTTTACTTAAATTATACCTGTTTACTGAAATATATTACAATTGAAGTTATACAGTGGGGATGGACATAAAGTGCAGACTCTCATATTTCATTTCAGGGTTTCCACATCCAAATTGGATGAAGGGTTTAGGAGTTTCAGCTCGTTAACATGTTCCACCCTCTTTTTAAAGGGGCCAAAAGTAATTGGACAATTCACTTAAAAGTCATTTCATGGACAGGTGTGGGCAATTCCTTCATTCTTTCATGATAAATTAAGCAGATAAAAGGCCTGGAGTTGATTTGAGGTGTCTTGTTTGCATTTGGAAGATTGAGGTATGAACATACAACATGCAGTCAAAGGAATGCGGTCAGTATGCAGGTGAAACAGGCCATCCTTAGACTGCGAAAACAGAAAAAAACGATTTGAGAAATTGCCACAACATTAGAAGCGGCAAATCCACAGTTTGGTACATCCTGAGAAAGAAAGAAAGAAAGAAAGCATTGGTGAACTCAGCAACGCAAAAGGGCCTGGACATCCACGGACGACAACAGTGGTGAATGATTGCAGAATCATTTCCATGGTGAAGAGAAACCCCTTTGTAACAGCCAACCATGTGAACAACACTGTCCAGGAGGTAGGCGTATCAATATCCAAGTCTACCATTAAGAGAAGACTGCATGAAAGCAAATACAGAGGTTTCACTGTGAGATGCAAGCCACTCATAAGCATTAAGAATAGAATTGCTAGATTGGACTTTGCAAAGAAACATCTGAAAAAGCCAGCACAGTTCTGGAACAGCATTCTTTGGATTGATGAAACCAAGATCAGCCTGTATCATGAATGATGGAGAGAAAAAAGTATGGAGAAGGGCTGGAACAGCTTATGTTCCAAAGAACACCACATCATCTGTAAAACATGGTGGAGGCAGTGTGATGATTTGGGCATGCATTACTGCCAGTGGCACTGGGTTTTTAATGTTTGTTGATGATGTGACACAGGATGGAAGCAACCGAATGAATGCTGAGGTGTTCAGAGACATCATGTCTGCTGAAATACAGTCAAATTGGTTGGGCGGCGTTTCATAATATAGATGGACAATGACCCAAAACACACAGAAAAAGCAACCCAGGACTTTATTAAAGCGAAGAAGTGGAATATTCTCGAATGGCCAATCTCAACCCCATTGAGCATGCATTTCACTTGTAAAGACTAAACTACAGACAGAAAGACCCTCAAACAAACAGCAACTGAAAGCTACTGCAGTAACGGCCTGGCAGAGCATTAAAAAGGATGATACCTAGCGTCTGGTCATGTCCATGAGTTCAAGACTTCAGGCAGTCATTTCCTACCAAGGGTTTTCAACTAAGTATTAGAATTGAACATTTCTAATACTAGAAGTATTAGAATTGAACATTGATACTTTTGGTTATGATTACTGTCCACAATATAGAGCACATTTTTTTTTTATGTATGTAATAATATTAATTAACTATTTAAAAAAATGAATTAAGTTTGTATTCAAGACCCAGCCACAAAGTTGAGATCCACTAAGACAGATAATGGACAAAATGAAAGAAACAGCCCTAAGATGTTACAC